TCTCTACACCCTGCAGTCCACCGCTGCCTCCTTTTCTCTTCTCTCTCTATTTCCCCCTCCCCTCCCGCCCCTCCCCTTCTTTTCCTCTCCTTCTTATTCTGGGTGATCCGGGACTCAAACCCAGGGCTCTGGCGCAGCAGGCGGCTCTCCCGCCAAGCCCTCCAGCGCCCCTTCTAGCCCGCAGCCATCAGCTTCAAGCCATTCAGAAACCATCCCCTCACTGCACTTCTGATGCCCAGAGCTGCCTCCCTCCCTCCCTTCCTCCCTGCCCTCCCCTTCTCCTCCCTCCCTCTTTCCCCCTTTCTCTTTCTCTTGCAAACACGGATTCATTTCCAGCTGTTTGTCATTTGTGGGTCACTGAGTCATTCCATTTTTCATTCACTCACCCATCTTTCCACCCATCTACCTTTCCATCCATCCATCCGCCCACTTTCTTCTGTCACTCCAGCTGTGCCCCCTGCATCACCTTTATTCCTGGCCCCCCACTGGCTTTCTGGGGCTCACCAAGAGTTGGAAGCCTCCTTAGGCACGGTGGCTCATTCCTGTAATCCCAGGGAGCCAGGAGGCCGAGGCGGGAGGATCACAAGTTTGAGGCCAACCTCCGAAACTTAGGTGTGGCTCAGTGGTAAAGCGCCTCTGGGTTCAATCCCCCTACCTCTCCCCACCCCACCCACCCCGCCACCAAAGGGTCGGAAGCCTGGGGGTCGACCCTTTCCCAGGGCGGCAGGAAGCTGAGCAGGAGGATGGAAGAAGCCCAGTGGGAACAGCGGATGCCACAGGCACCTCTGCTCCTGCTCACAAGTGCACTTCACCATCCTCTCTGGGTCCTGCCCTGCTGCCCCAAGTATCCCCTGTCACCCTGCCAGCCCTTCTTGGTGCCCTGCGTGTGTCCTGCAGCACACTCTGGAGGTGTCCAGCTGCTGCTGATCTCAGGCTCCTCCGGACGCTCGCGGAGGGGCCGTTCCCCTTCCCAGTCCTTGCTCGGTTGGGACCCTCCCTCTCTCTATTCACCGAGCCCTGGATTCATTTAGTGGTGTTTCTTAAGCACCTACTACGTGCTAAGCCGCGGGGTCCGCCCTGGGGCACCTGAGGTGAGGCAGCCTAGACCCCACCCCTGCGTGGGACAGCATCTCAGTCCAGAGGGGAGGGGAGGGCGAGTCCACGGACGGGAGCCCCGTCAAGTGGGGGGAGTTGGGGGCCCCGGGGTCCAAGGACTTCTGCTCAGAGGGGGACACTGGTGCCCAGGGCAGCAGAGCGTCCCGCACCCTACGCCCTGAGGTCCTGCTGGATGCTGTGGCTCAGGGTCCCTCTTTCCCTCCCTTGGACCCCCGTCCCGCCTCCTGCCCTCTCCCCCCTGGGAGGCAGAGCTGGAGGCGTTAGGGGGCACCGGGGTGTCCGAGCGGCTGAGACCCAACAGGCCACCCCAGGAGGTCTGGTGGGGACAGTGTTCTTTTTATTCTGGGGCTCAAAGGCCCAAGTTCAGAGATGGGTATGATGGGGGCCACCACTTATCAGAGGGGTGACAGCCTCTGGGCCAGGCCCAAGAAGCCCCTCCCCCTACGGCTGGTGCCAGAGACCCCCTTCCCCAGAGCCCGCTCTGGGCACCGTCAGAGGGAAGAGGGAGAGACTCTGTCCCCTCCTCTTGGTGACACAGGCTGGGTGCAGACAGGTCTCCCCAGCAGCACCCGCTCCCCTCAGGGCCTCAGCTCTGTGGGTCAGGCCTCTACCCCTCCTCGCTCCTGTTCCCCCCCAGACCCTCCGCCTCCATCTCTCTCCGTCTCTCCATTCACAGATTCCGGGGCCGAGTGCGGGTGAGAACGCACAGGGAGGGGGGTTGCTCTTCACTGCGTCCCCGCCTGGCCCTTCCCCCAGAACCCAGCTCACAACAGGTGCCCCATTGACATTTGTTGAGTGACTGAGTGAACGTCTCCAAGCCCTCCTCTTAGCATCGGGGTTTCTTGTTTTGGGTACCAGACATTGAACCCCGAGGTGTCTGACCCCTGAGCCACATCCCCAGTCCTTTTTATTTTTTACTCTGAGACAGGGACTTGCTAAGTTGCTTAGGGTCTCACCAAGTTGCTGAGGCTGGCCTCGAACTCGCCATCCTCCTGCCTCAGCCCCCCGAGTTGCTGGGATGACAGGCGTGACCCACTGCACTCAGTTTAGCATCTGTTTCTTCCTTACTTTCTCTCTGTCCCCCTCTCCTCTGCCAGCCCTCTCTGGGTCATGTCCTTTGTCTGCCTGCCTCTCCGCTCAGCTTCTCTCCCGTGTACACACAAGCTGCAGACGCAGGAGTCTCATCTCAGCTAACATTTATTGAGTGCTTACTGTGTGGTGGGCCCTGGGCTAAGTACCGACGAGCAAGAGCAAGGCCTCCCTGGTCTCAAACGTTTGTTGAATGAATAAATGAAGGAGTGTTGGAGTGAATGAAGGAGATGCTTTATTGTTCAGTCTGCTCTTCCTGTGCTCCCGCTCTGTCTTTCAGTCTGTCTGTCTTAGTAAGTGACAGCTGTGTGGATGGATGGGTTGCTGTGGGAATGGATGGGTGGGTGGGTGGGTGGATGGGCTGTGTGTTTCTGCTCGTCTGTTTCCCCAGTGCATAGTAGGTCCACCTATGGTTTGCCAAGTAAAACAGCCCTTGGTGTTTCCATGTCCCTGGGACTTCAGCTCCCACCACCCCCAGAACCCAGCACACAACGGTGTCCACTGGTGTTTGTTGAATGACTGAATGAACATCTCCCGGGGTCAGGGCAGTGGGTCAGGCCCAGGAAGCGCTTCTCATCATTTCCCGTCTCCTTCAGGAAGCAGCCGCAGAGCCCCAAAGCTCCTGCCCCCCAGCCGCCCCCCATCCTTAAAGTCTTCAACCGGCCCATCCTCTTCGACATCGTGTCCCGGGGCTCCACCGCGGATCTGGACGGGCTGCTCCCTTTCCTGCTGACCCACAAGAAGCGCCTGACGGATGAGGAGTTCCGGGGTGAGCACCCATGGGAGAAGACGGGTGGGGGCGCCGTCAGAGGTGGAGGGAGGCCTGGCTTTGGGGCTCTCCTTTCCCCCTGCCTCTCCTCTGCACACCTGAAGAGCACGGGGCAGCCAGTCTGCTCCTGTGTGCCCTTGGCTGTGTTGCTCACCCTCTCTGGGCCTTGGCGACCTCCACTCATGCTCTCGGTCAGTCCTTACTTTGGAAAGGGTGAGTGCAGCGGCGTCGACCCACAGGGTTTGAATATCACTGCCAGGACCCACGGGGGTGCGTGGCTGCTCTAAGCCTCAGTTTCTCCAGCTGTAAAGTGGTAGCAGAGTCCCGGCCTCTGAGGAGAGATCATCCTCGAAGAGCTGAGCACAAGGTGGCTGCAGTCCTGGAGCCCCTGCTCCCTCTCAGAGGGCCTTTGAGGGTTGGGCAGGGCCAACAGGTGCCTCTGCCCCTCCCCAGGCCCGAGCCCCAGCTCCCCTTCCCTATTCTAGCAGCTCAGAGACCCCAGCCTCCGCCCGGCTAGGAACCAGCTCCTCCACTGCCCCGGGCCTTCGCTGAGAATTGGACCCGTGAGCCCCTCTGCCCAACTCAGCTGCACCCCATGTGCTGGCTACCAGGAGCCAGATGATGCCACAAACCAGTATAAAATGTCAAAATTGTGGCACTTCCCATAAAAAAGGGACCGTCTCAGAAAGGCTGGCCATGAGTGGTCTGTGGCTTAGGTCTAAGGAAGCTTCCAGAAGGTCAAAAGAGGACATATTTGAAGACTTCAGGTACTTTAAGCATAATAATTGGCAGAACAGGGTGACCACTGGACATGGTGGCACAGCCTGTGATCCCGGCTACTCAGGAGGCTGAGGCAGGAGGATCTAAGTTTGAGACCAGCCTCAGTGACTTTGCAAGACCTTGTCTCGAAACAGAATTTTAAGAAGTGCTGGGGGATGTAGCTAAGTGGTAGAGTGCTTGCTTAGCATGCGCAAGACCAAACCCAAAACCAAACAACATAAAAAAAGGGGGGGGGGCTAGAGTCTATGGTTCATTTTCCACATAGACCTTTATCAATTTGATTCTTTTTTGGGGGGGGGTTGGGGGGATAGGGTACCAGGGATCGAACTCAGGGGCACTCAACCACTGAGTCCCATCCCCAGCCCTATTTTGTATTTTATTGAGAGACAGGGCCTCACTGAGTTGCTTAGGGCCTCACTGTTGCTGAGGCTGGCTCTGATCCTCTTGCCTCAGCCTCCTGAGCCGCTGGGATGACAGGCCTGGGCCACCAGGCCTGGCTCAATTTGGTTCTTAACCCAAAAACCATCCAACACAATGTCTTTGTGGCCATCAGTAGAGAATTTCTGGACTGATCTAAAAGGTATTTGTCCTTGCTGCTGGGCCAGCCAAGGTGCCCTTGACTGGGGGCACAAGCTTGGAGTCTGGGGAGCTAAGGGTCCTTCTGTCCCACACACCATCTCGGTGGCAGGGTGAGCCATCTCCTGGGAGGTAAATGCCACTCCCCCCCACCCCCCACCCTCAGTCTTCTGCACTGGTCTGGCGGAGTGGGGGTGGGGCGGACTGTGGGGCAGGGTGGGTCCCGAGGGATGGATGCTTCCCATGGCACCGCCCCACCAACTGGGCTTGGCCAGGCCTGGGGGCTGGGTGGCATCCCGGGTGGTCCTGAAACCCCAGGCAGGTGGGTGGGTGCAGGAGCTCGGTGGGGTACTTGCTGGGCTTGGGGGACAGGGACCTGCAGTTGCAGAGGTCCCTGTGTGCTGGGGGAGGGGAGACTGACTGCTAATGAGGTGCAGCGCCCCCGCTTGCCCAGGCGCCGTCTGAGTCCTGGCAGTGGGTATTTAGGATGGCCAGCCCATTTTGGTAAACAGGCCCCCGGGTTGTGTAAACCTCAGGCTCCACAGAACCTGGCTGTCCCTGCATGTTTTTCTGGCTGGAGGCGGATGAGCTCATCTCGTTTCCAGGGGAGGCTGAGACCACCCCACTCCCACCCCTGCGCACTTCACAAGCTCCCCTTGGGCCACTCCCAATTTTGGCCCCGGCTCCAGCTGCTGCGCCCCACCCCCACCGCCGGGCAGAAACACTTCGCCATCTGGTGGTCGGACCCTGGAACTGCACGTCCTGCTCCTGCTCTCAGCCCAGGACTCCCAGGCTGGCGGCCCCCGCCCCACTCTAGCCGGTGTCTGGGGGCACAAGCCCCAATCCAGGGTCTGGTTCCACTTTGGGCCCCCTGTGGTTTGGCTATGTGGCGCGCTCAGCTTCCTGCCTTCATTGGATGTTTATTAACTCAGCCAATGGCCCTTGGGTACCCGTGAAGCATCAGGCACGGTGCTAGGTTGGGACCCACAGTGATGAGCTGACAGTGAGGCACATGTGACCCTGCCTTTAAGTTGCTCCCAGACTCCTAGGGGAGACTGGCATGGGCCAGGCAGTCACAGAAATAAACACACCATTACAAACTGTAAAGGGTGTCAACAAGAGGCTGTGTGGGAGGGCTTGAGCTAGTCTAGGAAAATCTCGGAGAGTTTCCTGGAGGAGGTGACCCTGGGATCTATGTGAATGAGTCGTACTAACCAGGTGAGAAGAAGAGCAGGGAGTGCTTCAGATCTAAGAGAGAGTGCAGGGAGAGCATGTTCAAAGGCCCTGTGGCTCGCTGTGATCCGTTATACCTCTGAGGTGACCACTGCAGCTGGCATGTGGAGAGTGGATGAAGGAAGGACAGAGGGACTGGGGGACAACCAGGGAGGGGTCTTGGGCATGTGACAGACGGAGGAGAGACGGGAGGGCAGAGATTAAGATGACATCACAGTTTGGGACTGGGTGGGGGTACCATCCCTTGTTGATAAAATGGGCTGATGCCCCAGGGTCTGAACTGTGTGTGGGGGGGGTGTCTGTGTCTGCACAGAATCCCCGAGAGCCTTGGCCAGCTTTGGGGGCGGCTCCTCAACTACAGTTAGTTGTTCATTCAAGAAATAGTTACTTGGTGTTGCCTCTGGGCCGGGGGACTGGGGCTCGATGGGGAGCAGCTGGGGCTCCTGGGGGGGTGCTGGGGCGGCAATGGGGGTCTGCACCAGGCTTCGAGTTCACCCCATGCTTCCTGGCATCTAAAGTCCCTCCCTTGGGAGACTAACCAGGACAGTCACGATCATCGAGGGATCCTATCTGCCTGGTACTGAGCTAATCGATGCGTATTGATGAGCTCATCGATTTCCTTTCACAGCCTCAATTTAACTACAAAGGGAACTAAGTGGAGGAAGGTTCACACCACTGTCTTGTCACAAACCCTGAGGTGTCTGGCTGCAGAATGGTCCCCTCAACCCGCACCCATGTCCCCTGAGCTCGGGGCATTCCTGTGCCCCAGCCCGGCTCTGCCCCGTGCCTCATGTGCAGGGCTCTGTTTTCGTGGATACATTCTTTTGAGATATAAATGAGTCCCTGTAAACATAAAAGGGAAAGAAACTGGCATCAGGGACATAGAAGCGGAGGGAGAGGCRTTGAGGACCCGTGGCACCCAGCAGAGACTGAACGAGGCTGTCAGTCTCCTGCTGCGTCCACGGAACCCCAAGAAGCGCTCCCGCTCCTGGGAAGGCAGTTTCACGTCCCCTGTGCATCCACTCCACACTCCGGGGACCCCGTATCCCTCAGCTCCTCSGGGGAAGCACTAGTGTAAATGCTTCATGGGAGGCTGGTCCCTGTGGCTCAGGAGGATCGCGAGTTCAAAGCCGGCCTCTGCCACTCAGTGAGGCCCTGTCTCTAAATAAAATATATAAAAAAAAAGGGGCTGGGGACGCGGCTCAGTGGATAAGCGCCCCTGAGCTCAATCCTCAGTAACAAAACGAACAAACCAACCCCCCAAACAAAAACAAAAACTTAATTGGAAAAGGATTCTGTGTTCCAGAAGGTGGGCAAAGGCTGTCTGATGTGCTTGCTTTCAGAGGTGCACAGTCTCCATTATTATAATAAAGGCTCTGAGAAGTCCTGCGGTAAAAAAATATGGCGGACACTTACCCTCAGGGCTGGGGATGGAACCCTGGGGTGCACCTAGGCCAGTGCTGTACCGGGCAGTGGCACCCCCAGCCTGCATTCCTATTGATTTGATTACAAAACCCTTTTAAAAATCCCCACAAATAAGACTGTGGCCTCCTACATTTCAAAGCATTTCCACTTGCATGAGATTTGATGCCTCGGTATCAGCGACGGGCAGATAGGGCGGTCCTGTGTCCCCACCAGATGGGAGAGGCATAGTCTCAGGGTAGGGGCCTGTGAGCGCCGCCCGCTGCCCAGCGTTCAGGGCCCAGGCTAAGGCCCTCACCTGTGCTCTGTCCCCAGAGCCGTCCACGGGGAAGACGTGCCTGCCCAAGGCCCTGCTGAACCTGAGCAATGGCCGCAACGACACGATCCCGGTGCTGCTGGACATCGCCGAGCGCACGGGCAACATGCGGGAGTTCATCAACTCGCCCTTCAGGGACATCTACTACCGAGGTGCGGCGACAGGCTTAGCGGGGGACAGGGGTGACGGCCCGGCACCCGATCTGACCCTTCGGAGGGCTGTTGGGTCTCAAATGGCTGCACTGTGCCCTGGAGCTGCCTGTTGAGTCAGGGACTGAACCGACGGGGACCGGTCCCAACCCTTCACTCGGATGGTCATTGTCRCAAAATCCAAGACCCCGAGACTGGGCTGCAGGGCGCCTGGCGATCCTGGGATCCCGCACTTGCAAAGTGTGGGGTCCTGACCTCCCGGGCTCTGCGGGGGGGGGGGGAGTCAGTGACCAGCAGCTCCGAGAGGCCAAGGCCACACCTGTCCACGCTTTTCGGATCTCAACTCCGAGCTATGAATCGAGGCTGGCCTTCAGGATCCTGGGCATTAAGATTCCAAGTCCGTGGATTCGATATCCCAAGTCCAAAATTCAGTGAGGCCACGATGCTGTTTCCTCTTGGATGAAAGCAGCATGCGCGCCTGGAAAGTTCCAGACCTGGGGATCCCACAAGTTGGGCCTCCTTGGAATTTAAAATTCTGCTATAATGGGCTGGGGTCATGGCTCAGTGGTAGAGCACTTGCCTAGCATGTGTGAGGCACTGGGTTCGAGTCTCAGCACCGCATATAAATAAATGCATAAAATAAAGGTTCATCAATATCTAAAAAAATATATTTTTAAAAAATCCTGCTCTAATGCAGATCTGGGCTTCTAGCACACAAAATTCCACACCCGGGGGACGTCTGAGGCGCTGGTGGCTGACCGGGGCTCTGGCCTGCGCCCCCCMACTCTATACCCCCAGCAGGCCTGCTGAGGCCTCCGCCTTGCTGGAGCCCCGGATGACTGTCACCCCTTCCCCAGGCCAGACCGCCCTGCACATTGCCATCGAGCGTCGCTGCAAACACTACGTGGAGCTGCTGGTGGCCCAGGGAGCCGATGTGCACGCCCAGGCCCGAGGCCGCTTCTTCCAGCCCAAGGACGAGGGCGGCTACTTCTACTTCGGTGAGTCCCATAGGGAGTTCCACCATCCAATCCCCTGCAGCCTCCAAACCCTGTGGCCACGCCCCCTGGTGGGGCCCGGGGATCCTGGGAGGAGCTTGGGGACACAGAATGCCAGTTGGTGTCCAGAGYCTTGAGGATGTTCAGAGCTGTGCTGGCCAAGGGCTGCGTGTGGGTCCTGCTCCCAAGACCACAGTGTGGAGTCAGGGACCTGGGTTCAAATCCTCCATCTGCTACTCCCCAGCCACGTGACCTCCTCTCCCTGTGCCGCAACTTCCCCCTCTGGAGAGTGGCATCGGGAGGACCCTCGGACTGTGACTAGGTGTCAGCACCCGCACCTTATTGCGTGTGCCCTTTAATCTTATCTTGGAACCAATGGCCGGATGGGGGGACCCAAAACCCATGTCTTCCATACTGTCACAGTTGGAACAAAATATTTTGAATGTCACTCTTACATGCAGGCACGCATTATGTGGGGGTCAGAGACGGAGTCCCACAGGAAGTTCCACCATCCAATCCCCTGCAGCCTCCAAACCCTGTGGCCACGCCCCCAGTAGCCACACCCACCTCCTTAGCATCCCCCAGGAAAGCGCACAGTGGCCCAGGGACATGGTCACGTGACTGTAGGCGCTGTGTCCATCCGCCCCCCCCCCCGGGGGGGGGTCCTGTCACCCCAGGGTCTGCAGGCAGGATTCGCGCCGGGCTCCTCTCCCTGACCGTGTGTCCTGGCCTGCAGGGGAGCTGCCCCTGTCCCTGGCTGCCTGCACCAACCAGCCTCACATTGTCAACTACCTGACCGAGAACCCGCACAAGAAGGCGGACATGCGGCGGCAGGACTCGCGGGGCAACACCGTGCTGCACGCGCTCGTGGCCATCGCTGACAACACCCGCGAGAACACCAAGTTTGTCACCAAGATGTACGACCTGCTGCTGCTCAAGTGTGCCCGCCTCTTCCCTGACAGCAACCTGGAGGCCGTGCTCAACAACGATGGCCTGTCGCCCCTCATGATGGCTGCCAAGACGGGCAAGATTGGGGTGAGTGGGAGCTGACTCTTTACCCTCCACACACACACACACACACCCCACACACACACACACAGAGACGAGGGTGTGATCGGCAGTCATCATGCCAACCCCAGCCTGCAGACGTCTTAGCTCAAGAACCTGCTAAGGCTCCCTACTGTCCAGCCAGGCTGCTCAAGTTCCTCTCAGAGCCTCTCACCTCTTCCCACCTCACTAGATACTCACCTCCCTATTCTCACCTGCCAGGATAAGCCACTGATATAAAAATGAGTTCCCAGAGCTGGGTGTGGTGGTGCGCACCTGTAATCCCAGCAACTCAGAGGCCAAGGTAGAAGGATCACAAATTTGAGGCCAGCTTTAATAACTCAGCAAGACCCTGACCTCTATGCTGCAGACATTTGGGACCCGCTGGCTGGAGGGCTCMTTGCTGTGGGGCTGTCCTGTGCATTGCAGGATGCTTAGCTGCATCCTGGCCTTGATGGACTAGATGCTGGTGGCACACCCTCTTGTGACAACCTAAGATGCCTGCAGATATTGCCAAATTGTCCCCTGGGGGACTCCATCGCCAGGACTGAAAGCCAAGCCTGGAGTACCCTGGAGTCAGTTAGGAACACTTGGTCCAGACCCAGCTCTGCCTCTTGCCAGTGCRCGGCCTCAGGCACCTCCCTGCCCCTCTCTGAGCCTGAGTCTCCTTGTCTATCAAATGGGGCTAATAAGAGTGCCCTCTGGGTGACTGTCACTGTGCCAGTAAAAAAGACCATCCACAAAGAGCTGGGGACAGGTATCAGGTATTCCATAAATGGTAGGGATGGGACTCTTAAAAACACAGCAAAAATACTAAAGTCACAGTTAAACCAGGTTTGTTTGTTTGTTTTGGGAGGGGGGGTACCAGGGAATGAATTCGGAGCACTGGATGACTGAGCCACATCCCCAGCCCTATTTTGTATTTTATTTAGAGACAGGGTCTCACTGAGTTGCTTAGCTCCTTGTGTTTGCTCTTTGAACTCGAGATCCTCCTGCCTCAGCCTCCCCAGCTGCTGGGATAACAGGTGTGCACCACTGCCCCTGGCTTAAACCAAGGTCTCAGGCAGCAGAGCAGGTCTGTGTTTAGATTCTGGCTTTGTCCTAGTACAACACTGTGTGACCTTGGGCAATTCCCACTCCCTCTTCGTGCCTCAGTTTCCCTGTGTGTGAACCAAAGATAAAGGGGTGGTAATAGGATCAACGTGCTTCTGATTGGTCTGTTAACAAGATGGAGTTGCTGCTGCTCCAAGGCTGTGCRGAGGTGTTCATTACTGTCACCTCCATGTTTAAGGCCAGCCTGGGCTCACTGAGTGTGTGGCCTCAGGGGAAGCCCCGTTTCTCCAAGCCTGTTGGTGAGGAGGGTGCTCCGTGYGCCTGGCCTCAGGGTCCTTCTGACTCCAAGGGCTGAGCATTGGGGCCCCTCCCCTGGGCCCTCTGACTCCACATCCTGCTCCCATGCAGATCTTTCAGCACATCATCCGGAGAGAGGTGACAGACGAGGACACGCGGCACCTGTCCCGCAAGTTCAAGGACTGGGCCTACGGGCCCGTGTATTCCTCGCTGTACGACCTCTCTTCCCTGGACACGTGTGGAGAGGAGGTCTCCGTGCTGGAGATCCTGGTGTACAACAGCAAGATCGAGGTGGGCGCCGGGGCAGGGGCTGGGCCACAGGGGGAGCAGGGGGGGTGGCTGGGAGTYGTGGGTGGGTGYCTGTGACCCAGAGTGGCAGGTCTGTTGGTGCCGACGAAGAGCCCAGAATGGTGTCTGGCATTTAGCCAAGTAACCAAGGCTTGTGGAGCTGGGGGGCTGGGTTGGGATCCTGGCTCTGTCACCTCCGGGTTGTGGGACTCAGGATGAACGACTGAACCTCTCCAGGTGCAGCTTCCTCATTTGCAAACTGAAGAGAGGCATCATGTCTCTCCGATCGGGTTTTGGGGAGGACCAAATGGGTTCATGTTAGAACAGCCTGGTGAGATGAACCACGATGTGCCAGCCATTATCGTTAGCGGGCGTCCTATGAAGTGCTGAAAGCCCTTCTCTTTCACTTAGAAGCATTTCACCAACATCATTCTGCGCTGCTGAATATCCTCGCACAGCATCGTTACTGAATGAAATGCACCCCATTCTAATGAACCTTTTTCCTACTGCTGGTTGTTTGGGTTTACAGCCTCTAACTATGAAGAAAATGCTACAATTACATCTTTATGGCTTTATTGTCACACAGATCCATGGTTAGGAAGAAACTCAAGTCATTAGAAAGGATGATAATCAAATGGGGCAGCTGGAATGGGTACAAATGACCTCCCTTCCAGTTCTGCCCTGTGGCTTACTGGCTCTGTGAGTTTGGCTTCCCTTGCAGGACCCCATTCTTAAACTTAGTGGTCAACTTGATTTAAATTGAGGTTTGCAGGTTTAGCATCTCTGGTGCAAACTCTGATTGATGGGTAGTGCCTACCAGGCAAGTGCATAGAGCGCTATTGTGCAGGGATCAACTATTGATGTCTGCCCTGGACTGCGAATTGGAGCATTGTGATGAGTTAATCACTCAGCATCATTTAGCTCAATTTCCCAGACCTGCTCCCTGAATCAGAATTTCTGAGGATGGAGCCTGGGAATTTTTACTTTGATTTTTAACAAGCAGCAGATGGGATTTTGGCTGCCATTGACTCATTATGCCATTCACAGATTAAAATTTGAAGATAGTTGCTTTTTTTTTTCTTTTTTGGTACTGGGGGTTGAACCCAGGGCCACTCTACTGCTGAGCCACATCCTCAGTCCTTTTTTAAATTTTTATGTTTTGAGACAGGGTCTCACTAAGTAGCTTAGGGCTAAGTTGCTGAGGCCGGCTTCGAATTTGCAACCCTCTTGCCTTGGCCTCCCGAGGTCACTGGGATTGCAGATGTGCATCACCGTGCCCAGCCAGGATACATGTTCTTTAAGGAGCTTTCCAGCTCTGCTCTACTAGACTGGGGTGGGAAGGGTAAGTTGAGGCAGGAGTGGGCAGAGTCTTGGATGCTGAGCCCAGGAGTTTGGGGTGGATTCTGAAGACCTGTACAGTTGCGCCCAGATCCTGAGCAGAGCTGAAGAATGGGAGGGGAGGGGAAGTGCTCTGGGGCGGAGGGTGGAGGAGGGCATACTGGAGTCAGCCCKTGTGGATCCCCCGCCTCAGAAGGTGGCCACGACCCTCTTGCCTCTCACAGAACCGCCATGAGATGCTGGCCGTGGAACCCATCAATGAACTGCTGCGGGACAAGTGGCGCAAATTCGGGGCTGTCTCCTTCTACATCAACGTGGTCTCCTACCTGTGTGCCATGGTCATCTTTACCCTCACTGCCTACTACCAGCCACTAGAGGGCACTGTGAGTGCTCGGAGTCGGGCAGCGCKGGGGCGGGGCTGCGGCTCCAGCCATCTGGGTGCCCTGGGGGAAGGGCCCGGGGAAGGTTAGCAAGAGGCAGAGGAGGTGCCCCTACMTGGGTGGCTCTGAGATGGGAGACCTGTGGGAACATCGAGGGAGGAGGTGGCGCGGGATCCAGGTGGAGGGCGGGTGAGGACCCTGTGCCCTGCTCCCCAGCCGCCCTACCCTTACCGCACCACCATGGACTACCTGAGACTGGCAGGAGAGGTCATCACACTCTTCACCGGGGTCCTGTTCTTCTTCACCAACGTGAGTGCTCGGTCCCCGTGCCACCAGCCCGCCCAGCCTCCTCCTCCTGCTCCTCTTCCACCTCCTTCTCCAGTTCCAGGTTCTCTTCTGCAACCAAGAGCCCATGTCCCTTCTCTGTCACATGCTCCGCCTCCCTCTCTTCTGTCCCTCCCTCTCTCCTGTCCTCTACCTTCTTCCCTGATCCACCTGCCACGGGCCCCCTCCCTCCCCTCTTTCAGATCAAAGACTTGTTCATGAAGAAATGTCCTGGCGTGAATTCTCTCTTCATCGATGGCTCCTTCCAGCTGCTCTAGTGAGTTCCGGGAGGACAGCGTCTGGGTGGGGACGGTGGGGTGGGGCTTTGGGGCCATCCAGACTGGGGGGAGAGGTAACCCTATTAGGAAGGAATTCATTCAGCTGGGCAGCACTAATCCAAACTGGGCAAAGCAAAGTGGAGTCTTCTGGTTAAAGAAATACTGCCAGTGACTCAGTACCATTTACAGATTGGAATCTGAAGGTAGTTCCTAAGGGGTTACCGTAGGTACCAAAATCATAGAAAAATTTTGGCCTCTTTTGCCAGTGATGGATTGCTAATGTCTGCCTGGAGTGCTGGGTCTCAGAAGGGGTGTGAGACTGTCTGGGTTTACTGGGAAAGAGAGCTGTGATCGATTAGTGATGTCTGCACAGGGCACAGGATCTGAGGGTCCCTGCAGCTCTGCTAGTCTTTTCCCCTTCCCCCAGAGCTACAAGATAGTGAAATCCACTTGGCCACAAAAATCTCCACTGAACACCACCGAATCTTTCTCTAGCAATTCCAAAGTCATCACCTTGGGATCTCTTAGGGCCTCAGGGGCATCACACGTASGATTCATTGCTAATTAACTAATGTTTTGTTAGCAGAGCCTTCAACTTTGGGGAACCCAGCTCATCCATTCTGCTTTTCTTTTGAGGCTCTAGATGACATTGGGATGCTGTGGTACACTGGAGGGCGTGGAGATACATCTCCCCCTCCAGGGCCTCACTGTCCCCACTCCCTCTGGCCCCCTCGTGGTCTCTGTAGCTTCATCTACTCTGTGCTGGTGATTGTGTCCGCGGCCCTCTACCTGGCGGGGATCGAGGCCTACCTGGCTGTGATGGTCTTTGCCCTGGTCCTGGGCTGGATGAATGCCCTGTACTTCACCCGGGGGCTGAAGCTGACGGGGACCTACAGCATCATGATCCAGAAGGTATGGGGTGGAGGGTCCCCTGGGCTTGGGTGTCCCTCTCAGGTGCCCGCAGACCAAGAAACCATTGTCTCCTCTTTGCCTCCGTGATCCCACGGGGGGGCTTTAGATCCTCTTCAAAGACCTGTTCCGCTTCCTGCTGGTCTACTTGCTCTTCATGATCGGCTATGCTTCAGGTGAGTTCTGGGAACCCTGGGGGGAGGGGGTGGCCAGGGCCTGGAAGGCAGCCATCACGGSTTCTCACTGTGCGCTGGCCCCGGGGCCGAGTCCCGTCCTCCTGACAAGCCCATGAGACCGCTGTCCTTATTCTCCCATTTCACAGATAAGGAAACTGAGGCTCAGGAAGGTTAGATAATTTGACCAACTTCAAAAGCTAGTGATAAAATGGGAGACCCACGAAACGTAGTGGCTTCAAACGACAGCCATCTGCTCCCGAGTCTGTGGGTCAGCTGGGTGGCGGTGCCGACTGGGGCCGGGTTGGCCGGTCTCGTGGGCCCCTGCGTCTGTGGTCGCCTGGAAGGCTGGCTGCCGACAGACAGGGATAGCCAGGGTGGCCTTGGTTGTTTTCCACATGGTCACTCATCCTCCAGCCAGGGTGGCTTGTTGATGGGGGTGGTCTCGGGGCCCAAGAAAGTGAGCAGAAGTGTTCAAGGCCAGTGCCTGGCTGGGCATTCCGGCTGCCTCACTGTGTTAAGCAACTCCAAGGTCAGCTCTGAGTCAGAAGGTGGGGAAATAGACTCCACTTTTTTTTTTTCAGTACTGGGAATGGAGCCCAGAGGCCCTTTACCACTGAGTCACATCCGCAGCCCTTTTAAAAATATTTTTATTTGGAGACAGGGTCCTGCTCAATTGCTGAGACTGGCCTTGAACTTGTGATCCTCCTGTCTCAGCCTCCCGAGCTGCTGGGATTACACTGTACCTGGCTCGACTCCAGTCATTGATGGGGGGCCGTAGGGCCACACTGAAGGGGCGTGGATACAAGTCCAGTGTCCGCTTCCTCCAGTGTGCCTCTCGGTGATGTCATCAGGCCCACCTGAGGCACACTGGGACTTCACTGGCACAGGCCATGCAGGAGGGGCTGAGGACGGGGAAACTGACCGAGTCATTGGACTGGTCCCCGAGAAGTGGCTGATCTKCTCTCAATGCCCCACATCCCATGGGGAGTGGCCAACTCAGGCTGGACCAGGCTGCACTAAATTCTGAGCCGCTTCGCGGGGGGGCCTGYCAGGCAGCAGGAACCTGATGGTGGAGACATATTATCCCAGATGGTCCTGAAGCTCTGTGTGGATTATTTGGAGGAAGCAGAGCTGGACAGCCCTGGCTGTGGCGGTTGGGACAGAGGAGGGGCCGGGAAGAACTGGCCGAGTCAATGTTCAGCAGCAGGATGGGCTTCAGGTTGGGGGTCCAGCCCCACTGAAGTCCTAATTATAGAAAAGGAGGCAGAAGCAATGGAGGCTAAGGTGATCAGCTAGGTCCCGAGGCTGCTTCTGTCTAGGGTCACTGAATCCCAAGTCTGAGGCCGACATGACACAAACGATGCACACGGACTACTACTGCTTCCCATTTTTGTGCCCGTGGCAGACATTGCTAATGGATCCTAGAGTCATTTTTCTGATGCATCTTAGACCAGGTCTCAGATTCCTTCTCAACACAAGGTTTAAGGGTACAATTAAATAATATTAGCATATGAATTGGAACCCCTGCCCTGGCTGGTTTAGGGTCAGGTTGTTGCTGCTGAGCTTTGTTGAGCAAGGATTGTGACACCATGGATCTGCACCTGGGTTGGTGTGGAGGGACAGTGTGTCCCTCGGAGTGGATCCAAGACCCAATGAATGACAGGCTACATTGGCCGGGCCAGACACGATCCTGTCGTGAGGAGCTGAACTGTTCCCTGTGGGTGTTCAAGAGCACCTCTGCCTCTGTCCACTAGATGCCAGGAGCACCCCCTCTCCCGGCTGCAGCAACCAACCGTGTCTCTAGACATTGTCCAATGTCCCTGGGGAGGAGACTGCCCCTGGCCCAGATCCTAAAAGCTTTGTCCTTATAAGGGGGGGGGTCTGTGGAAAGGACAGAGGCTTTGCAGCCTCSCGGGCCCAGCTGACTGCTGGCTTGGCTAACCCTCTGGGTGACCTGGGGCTGGTGCGCTCTGGCCTTGACTCCCTCCCTCCCACTCAGCAGAGGCCACCCCTGTCCCCCGCTGCAGCTCTGGTCTCCCTCCTGCACCCGTGTGCCAACATGAAGGTGTGCGACGAGGACCAGACCAACTGCACGGTGCCCACGTACCCGTCGTGCCGCGACAGCGAGACCTTCAGCACCTTCCTCCTGGACCTCTTCAAGCTGACCATCGGCATGGGCGACCTGGAGATGCTGAGCAGCACCAAGTACCCCGTGGTCTTCATCATCCTGCTCGTCACCTACATCATCCTCACCTTCGTGCTGCTGCTGAACATGCTCATCGCCCTCATGGGGGAGACGGTGGGCCAGGTCTCCAAGGAGAGCAAGCACATCTGGAAGCTGCAGGTGAGGCCCCGGACTCCCAGCCCTGCCCCCAACCACCTTCCTTCCCAGGTGGGGAGCYGGGGAGACAGGATCCCCCAGCCTCCCTCTCTGGGGGGGCCTTGGCATCTCCTTCCGCCTCGGTTTCACTGCCTGTAAAATGGGCACCAAAGGCCACTGCCCACTTCCTAGGGCCAACAGGGGGTCCCACCGTGGGGTCCCACCCCTATGAATTCACCTGACCCTAAAATTAAAAAAAAAAATCCCAAAGCCCCAGAGCACCCACATTCACATTGACTCAGGGCTTCAAGGAAGCAGCCCCCCGAAACATTGGGACCCTGGTCAGGGGCTGGGTTCAGTGGTAGAGCGCTCAGGTAGCATGTGCCAGGCCCTGGGTTTGATCCTCAGCACCACATAAAAATAAATAAATAAAATAAAGGTATTAATTTTTTTTTTTTAAACCACGGTCAGCAGCTGGCTRTGATTCAAGCTGAAGCAGGGGGTTCACAAGTTTGAGGCCAGATTTAGCAACTTAGGGAGACCCTGTCTCAAAATTTTAAAATAAATCAAAGGGCCTGGGGATGTGGCCCAGGTGCCCCGGCTTCCATCCCTAGTACCAAAAAAACTAAGACAGAAGCAAAGACCAAGGTCGTCTGTCCTCTTGGGTCTGAGTGTGAGGGGACGTGGTGGGGCCCACCCCGGAACTTTGACCCAACCATGAACTCCACTGGGCCTCAGTTTCCCCGTCAAGAGTAACCCACGAGATGGGAACTGGATCCAACCACCCAAGATTCATTTTTTTCCATATTTTAAGAAAAAAGGTGAATGCAACATTTTAAAAATGAAGAGACTCCATATAAAAAGTCAAAAAGTTCTGACCCTCTGTGAGCAGTGGGCAGCCCTGCGGGGCTGGGCCGCCTTCCTGCCTGGCAGCCCTGGGTCCGCTGAGCGGCTGCTGCCCCCCACCCCTGCACCCAGCATCCGCTCTCTGGTTTGCCCCAGTTCCCAGCCTCCCTGTGGCCTCTGCTGAGCATGCGCACGGGCCCTGSGCGGGGCCTTCCTACCTGGGTATTGGGTTGCCGGGTGCAGGGGGMTACTGGGGATTGAACCCAGGGGCACTCGACCACTGAGCCCCATCCCCAGCCCGATTTTGAACTTTATTTAGAGTCAGGGTCTCCCTGAGTTGCTTAGGGCCTCGCTGTTGCTGAGGCTGGCTTTAAACTGGTGATCCTCCTGCCTCAGCCTCCCCAGCCACTGGGATGACAGGTGTGCGCCACTGCGCCCCGGCCACTTTGGGTGTTTGAGTTTACAAAGCTCCTTCCTAGGGACAGTAAGACCTGGAAGGCTTAGTTCTCTGCCCACCCTGGCCTGTCACCCTCTTTTCTGCCTTTAGGGCAGTGGGTGCGGCCGGCTGGCTCCCCTACATCCCGCCCCCGCCTCCCTCTCCGTAGTGGGCCACCACCATCCTGGACATCGAGCGCTCCTTCCCCGTGTTCCTGAGGAAGGCCTTCCGCTCCGGGGAGATGGTGACMGTGGGCAAGAGCTCCGATGGCACTCCGGACCGCAGGTGGTGCTTCAGGTGAGGCAGYGTGCGCGGGAGAGCCCAGTGGTCGAGGATCCATTGAGACCTCGGAGCCAYAGAGGCCCTGCTCAGCGCCCACCGAGGGTCCCACCCCGTGAACTTGGGCAAACTGGTTGGCTTCCCTTGGCCTCCGACTCTTATCTGTGGATTGGGGACCGTGATGGTGCCCCTCCCTGGCCAGCTGTGCAGCCTGTGAGAGGTGCTGGTYAGGATGCCGAGGGCACCTCTGACCCTCGTGGGGACAGGACAGTAGAGACCCGCCCGCGTCTCACCTCAGGGCATCGTCCCCAATCCACAAACAACCMGGGGACTTCAGCGCCGAGGCTTAGTGGGGAAACCCAGGAGTGGGCATCCTCCAAGGCTTGGGACCCCACCCCATCCACGTGGAGAGCGACTCCCTACTCCAGGTGACGGAGAAAGCCCGCTTCCCCGGGGAGCCCCCCCCCACACACACACACACGGTATTTTCTTCTAAAATGACTCATTCCTTGGTGACTGACAGCAGAGAAGATAAGGGCGATATTTGGAATCAGGCAGAGTCAGTTTCCTCATCTGTGATATGGGGACAATGGCAACTACCTCCTAAGTCAGCTGCTCAGTTCTGCTGACGCTGAACCCAAAGTTCAAATCCTAACCCTTTAACTTACCAGCTTTGTGACCTTGCAGAAGCCGCCCAAACTGCCTCCAGTTCCTCATCGGTAAAACAGGAGGAACCAGAAATGAATGCATCTTCTTTGCCAAGCTCTGACATGTGGCAGTTGATAAAAAAAAAAAAAAAAAAAAAAAAAGAAAAAAAAGAGAGATTGTATGAGAAATAATTTTAAAAATGGTGTTAAAAAAAACCAAATTATATTGGGTTAATTTGACCCAAGAGGTTGTAATCTGACTTCACCAGAGTTTTTCAATAAGAAGTAAAAATATCAAGCAGCATGTCTATCTATGAATGAATGAATGAACAAAATGTGGTACATCCACACACTGGAATATTATTTGGCCTTCAAAAAGAATGAAGTTCAAATACCTGCTACAGCATGAATGTGTCTGGAAAACATAATGCCAGATAAAAGAGGCCAGACACAAAAGGCCACAGGTTGTATGATGGCGCTTGTAAGAAGTTTCCAGAGGAGGCAAACACTGTAAAACAGAAAGCAGATTAGGTAGGAAGGCCTCCGCCCAGGGCCCRTGCGCATGCTCAGCAGAGGCCACAGAGAGAGCTGGGAACTGGGGCAAACCAGAGAGCGAATGCTGGGTGCTGGGGTGGGGGGCAGGGGCCGCTCAGCAGGCCCAGGGCTTCCAGGGGCTCGGGGAGGGGTCACGGGGAGTTACTGCTGACTAGGCAGAGAGCTTCTGTTTAGAGCAATGGGAAGGTTTTGGAAGTAGGTAGGAGTGCTGGTGCCACAGCGTCGGGAATGGACCCAACTGTAGAACCCAGGTAGGTATGTGTTTGACCCCAGTAGGAACAACAGGAGGAGGGCGTGCTGCCAAGTCTGGGGCGGGGTCTCCCCAACCCTCTTCTTGGGCCCCACCAGGGTGGACGAGGTGAACTGGTCTCACTGGAACCAGAACTTGGGCATCATCAATGAGGATCCAGGCAAGAGCGAGACCTACCAGTACTACGGCTTCTCGCACACCGTGGGCCGCCTCCGCAGGGGTGAGCAAGGCCGCGGAGCCGAGGGGCCGCCAGGCTTGTCACCTGTGTGCCCAGAGGGCCCTGTCCCCAGCTGGGACTCAGGGTCCAAAGGATGGGGCTGTGGGATGGGCCGGCAGTGGGTTTCTTCTGCTGCTTTGTGGATGCCTGGGGCACCCCGTCTTTGTGGCTTCATCCTGGCCCTCCCTGCACCCAGATGCAAACTGGCCTGGGAAGCAGGATGAGCCCCTGGGCCAGCCCCAGGGTGGAGAACCCTTGTTTTCCACTAAACCTGGAGTTTGGGCACTTGGCGTTCTGACCTGGACTTGGAGCTTGGTTCCTCTTTGCMTTCCTGTGCCATCCTCCATCACAGCMTTGACCTCTCTGAGCCTCAGTTTCTACCTCCTCTAAGATGGGCATAATAATCCCCCCATGGGATCGGGAGCGCCCAGTTCACGTAGGTGCTCAGTACACGTGCTGAGCCCCTCTGAGCTCACGCCGCTCCCCGTCTGTGCCCCCTGCCCAGATCGCTGGTCCTCGGTGGTGCCCCGCGTGGTGGAGCTGAACAAGAATTCGAGCCCGGATGAGGTGGTGGTGCCTCTGGACAACCTGGGGAACCCCAGCTGCGACAGCCACCAGCAGAGTTATCCCCCCAAGTGGAGGACTGACGATGCACCCCTCTAGGGGCCGCGGGCGGGATTGGGGTCTCCYGCCTGCAGCCTGATCCCGCCCTTCACCTGCCTTGTCCACCTGCATTTCAGCTCCTCCCAGGTGTCCCCACACCCTCCCGTGACCCCTAGAGGCGAGGGCTGATGGAGATGCTGGGAGGCCCCAGGCCCGTCTGGTCTCCAGGCTCCTGTCCCCGCTCCGCCTGCCCCTGGGGACGGGCTCCTGGCCGCCTGTCTCACTCCCATGGAGTCACCTCCACCCAGAGGGGCAGACCTGCCCCCTCTCCATTATTTATTGCTGTCCTCTCAGGAAAGCCATGTGCCACCCACCCCCCAACCCTGTCCTGCACGCGGAACCCTGAGGTCTCAGCACCTGGCTGCAGGTGCACTGCCGGCCACGCCCACCGGCCACGCCCCCAGCCCCACCCTCCTCGCACCAGCACCTACCGCGGGGGTCGGGCCCTGGGGTGGGCCGAGCCCTCTGTGTGTCCTGGGGTCTGGGATTTGTCGGTGCTCAATAAACGTCCACTCACTGATGGTGGAGATGGCGGGGCCAGTGGTGGGCGTGGGGCGACGGTGACCGGCCTGGGGGTGACACTAGGGAGGCAGGAGAGTAGATACTGCCCGTGCTGGAAGGATCAGGTGGCAGTAGGTATCAGCGGGCTGGGGACGGACCGGCCGTGGTGGTGGTGGCCGTGATGACCTGAGAGATGGGGTGAGACTGAATGGYGGTTGGGGAGCTAGGGACAGAGGTACCGACTCCAGGGGAAGGAGCCAGCCTCCCCCAGGGCCCAGCTCTCGTCTCCCTGCCCGGGGCGGCCGGAGCCCGGGGCTCTCCTCCAGGGCACAGTGTCCCGTGTCCAGAGCAAGGGGATGGCCCCCCCGGCCCCTCCTCCCCTGACCACGGGGAGCCCCGACCAGAATGGTGACAGTGGTAGGTCATGCTCGGGAGGTGACAGACGAGTGGTTTTCACTCGGGTCAGGCTTCAGGAAGGATCCAGGTAGGRACCCCTGGGCTCTGAGTCCCGAGAGCTTGGAAGGACCCTGGGACAGAAAGGAGATTTCATGGCCGGGCCTGGGGCACACACCTGTCATCCCAGCCGCTCAGGAGGCTGAGGCAGGAGGATCGCAAGTTCAAAGCCAGCCTCAGCAACTTAGTGAGGCCCTAAGCAACTCAGTGAGACCCCGTCTCTAAATAAAGTACAAAATAGGGCTGGGGATGGGGCTCAGGGGTTCAATCCTCAGTTACCTGCCCCTTCCCTAAAAGAACTCCAGTTTCCTTCTTCCTCAACCCCTGGGAAGGGGAAACACTCTCCTACCTGAGTTGTTGGTGCTGGACCCTGGCCCTGGGTTGGTCAGAAGACAAGATGGCAGCCTGGGTCTTCCCTGGAAGGTGGATGCTAGAGATGAGGGACGGGATTTCCCTCACACTGGCTTCCCTCGGGGACACAAGGTGGTGCCCCAAATCCGGGCATCACGTCCAGWTCCAATTACCTCCATAGGAAGAAGGGGAGCTGGCTCCTCCTTTCTCTCTTTTTATAGAGAAGGAAACTTTCCCCTAAAGTTCCTCCCCTCTCCTATTGTTGGCCAGAATTTGTCATCTCTTTCATGCTCCAGCCAATTGCCAGACAGGAAGTAGCAATTGGCCTAAAGAAGCAGATGGCAATATGGAGGAAGGAAGTGACCCTGGACAGGCCGCGCTCTGTGATGCAGGAGAATGCCCAGATGGCCTGGCYGACCCATAGTGTCTGCTGTGGTCTCTTTCCAAATGTCCTCCAGAGGRGTGGGGTGCCCTCACTGTCACCAAGAAGGTCTGAGGCTCATTGTGGAGCCATCAATAGGTTACTTTTTTAGGGGCCCATGGCCTGGGCCTACCCACAGGGTCAAAAGCCCTCCCGCCCCGGGATACAGCGACTCCTTCAGTGCATAATTTGTGTTTTACAATGAAATAATGTGGGCTATGAATTTTCCTATGAATACACTTTTAGCCACATATTAACTTTTTCAAATTAAAAAAATCAGAGGATTTTAGTCTTATTAATCATCTCTGACTCAATAGCTGTTTAAGAGAATTTAAAAGTTTTCAAGTCTTTGAGATTTAAGTCCAGTAAGATCTTTAAAATGCCCTTTCCCATTGTGGACATGTATTGGCTATATGCCAAAATATCTTCAGGTGACACGTTGTTCCAAAATTGCATTTTAAAACCTTTTTTTTTYCCCAATTATCTGTGTCTCCCGATTATGTCAAGGTCTCAGTTTGGTACTTCTGGGTTTTATTTTAAATTATCTCTGTTTTAAATAGTGAAGGATCTTTTGGCTTTGAACTTCTGGAAGAATAGAGTAGTTTAAAACATTTGAATTTCTTTTTCTTTTCAGTTATAAGACCTGTTTGAAGCAAGCTATGTTTCTCGAGATTAATAGTGCCCTCAAGTAAAAAAAAAAAAATTTTTTAATGGAGAGGGGTCCCAGGGATTGAAGCCAGGGGCACTCAACCACTGAGCCCCATCCCCAGCCCTATTTTGTATTTTATTTAGAGACAGGGTCTCACTGAGTTGCTTAGGGCCTCACTTTTGCTGAGGCTGGCTTTGAACTATCCTCCTGCCTTAGCCTCCMGAGTCACTGGATGACAGGCATGTGCCACTACGCCTCACTCAGTCAGTCTTTTGAATAATCCTGGCAGGTAGGGAATAAGAGGTTTCATTCCCTCTATGAACAAGTCACAGAGAGGTGCAATGACCCATACAGGGTCACACAGCTACCTAGTGAATGCAGATTTGAGTCCAGGTGTGGACTCCTCTCTGCCTGCATGACTTCTCACCATTGTCCCCTTCTTAATTGCTCACTCATGTATTTTCTAATAGCTGATAAAACCCACTTGCACTATATGAACGTCTCAGGTGTCTCAGGCTTGACCTTAGTGCTTCTACATATATAACCTCATTGAAGCCAGAGTGATACTATAAAGTTGGAACTCTTAAATACAGTCTCTATCCCTGCCCACAGGCATTAGTCAGTCATTTTGTTTTGTTTTGTTTTTGCATTTGACAAGGAATCTGAATACAAATTAGCTCTCATTAAGGAGAACATCAAGGCATGTGTAGCTTCAGGTATGGCTGGATCCAGGGGCTTGAATGAGGTCACAGGACTAATTCATCACCTGTGTCTATTTCTTCCTGGGTCAGCTTTGTTCTCTGCCTCTTCCAGGACCAGCTGGGGTCCCGTGTTTACTTTCTCTGTGTATGTGTGGGTGCTGAGGACTGGACTGTGTTTCCAGAGTGCTTGCCAGCCACGTCCCTCGCCCACGTGTCTATTCTGAACCGGTCACTGTTTCCCGGGAAGCAGAATCTTGTTTGGTCAGACTTGAGTTACTTGGTCAGAGCTGGGGTGGGACTGGCTTTTCCTATYCTGCAGGCACAGAAAGCAGCCGGACGATGCTCCCTAAGGAAAGTCGAAATGGTACTAACCGCTCTAGGTGGCTTCAGTAGCCCCAGTCCCCCACTCCTCTTTTCACTCCCACCCCTAAAAGTCCCACCTGGGTGCTGCCCTCTCGCTGGGTCACAGCCTAGTCTCCCGCACCTGCGCTTGATCATGTGACCTGTGTGATGTTAGCGGACATCAGAGCAGTGAACCCCCCCTCCGGGACATCCCACTGGTAATTGACACTGGCGGGATTCGAGCCCCAGCATGCTGGGGAGGTGAGGGGTGACAGGTGATGGCACTGTCACTTCTGTGGCAAAGACCCTGGCTGTCACCTGCCACCTTTCCCCCAGTCCCTGCCAGCTTGTCTTCTGTGCCCTTTGCCTTTGAATGTGCCCCTCGCTGCCTTCCAACAAGGGTCTCTCATTAAGTGCGCGTGTGTGTTTGATCATGATGAAGGACTTGTGCGTCGTACTTGACAGGAGGGTTTTCCCTCCTGAGTGTAAAGCGCCCCTGGGAAACCACCAGTGGTCCCCGAGTCAGAAACAAAGGGATCCCATCCGGAGAGACAGTCTCAGGGATTCCCAGGTCTTCACTGAACCATCACCTCTCGTGCCTGCAGAGCGTTCCTCCCCACACGCCCCGTGATCACTCGCTGTTATGATTGTCCTAGAGGAATGCTGCGGATGATGCACAGCCACACTGAACGGTGCACCCTCTGAAGTTCCTGGATGTGGTCGTGTGCAGTGGGCAGTCAGGCCCCACGCCTCGCCCAGATTCCCGGGGTAGGAGGATCATTCTGTTCAGGCTGTGATTAACGTTTGGCTTCTTGGCAGAAGAATTTCTGTGTGAACCCAACGCTGCCTTCCTGCCTTTGATTTTTAGGAATCCAAGGTCACTGGGGACAATGGAGAACAAAGGTTCATCCCAGGATTTTGAGATAGAGACAAAAAAACAAGGGTGGTGATGGAGCAGAGGATGGGATGGGAGAGGTGTGGGCAGTGGGGACCCCCCCCCCCGCCGCCGCCGGGACCAGGGAGCTCCAGCCCAGGAGGTGTTGTATTCTCAAGGGAATCTCAGAAAGGAGGAAGCCGATGAACCCCCGATCAGGCACCTGCCTCATGTTAGGTGCTGTGCTTGGTGCTGGCATTCATGTCTTAGTTCTGATCCATGAGAGAAGAGGATACGTTTACTAGGAGAGGAGAAATTCTGAGAAAGTAAGAAGAATAAAGGAAAAGACTTGTTTTCTTTCCTCGAAATTGTCAGGTCTGATGTGATGTGATGCCTGGAACTGCAGCAGTTATGTTGTGGCCATGAGGAGGATCCGAAAAACAGAAGAATGACAAGAACTGGGGCCCTTGATGACATTACTGAGCTGCTGAATTTAGCCATCTTTTGGCCACCTGACCTTATATCTTCTAATGATTACTTGAGAKAATACATTGTCTTTCTCATTTGAATCTGGATTTTCTATCAGCTAAAATCATACAGATGCAAGCACAAATTTTTACCTCCATTTTACAGATGAAGAAAACGAAGCCTGGTATTAACCTAGAATGCCTTAATATGAATTTCCTGGGGGTGGTAGGATTGTTTTTGAGTGTCGGTGGCCTTTCCTAATGTGTCCACTTGCCATTTCTCTACACAGGGCTTTGTGTTAGGGTGGGTGGAGCTGGGACTCAACCAGGGCCACAGCTCTCAGCACCCTGAGGTCCTTAGTGTTGGAGCAGGGGTCGGACTGTGAGGTCAGAGGGTCCTGCTTGCTCTCAGCACCACATGCCAAGGCACCGCACTCCCACGATCTGCCCTTCTCCATCTGGGCGGGGCTGCTGAGATCTGGAGACTGGCCACCAGGGGTCGCTGTGGTCACACCTGGGGGCCTCCGCAGAAGAGACCTGAGGGGAACTTGGAACTTGGGGACCTCGTCAGAAAGAAGCTTCCTGAGCTCCTTCTTAGGTGAGCTGCGTCTGTGAGACCCAGGAAATACCCTCATCCCCGAGAAGGACAGAAGGTGGCCTAAACTCGCCTCTGGAGGGTCAAACTGCTGTGTGTCCTTGGACACGTTGCCTCCCCTCTCTGAACCTCAGTTTTCTTTTTCAAGGGGTATTCACCCCCCACTTCTCAATGGTGGGTTTCTTCACTCTCCCTGAGGGTCTTCCCCTGCTTTGTGCCTCGATTAAGGTGGTGGATGAAGACCAGTTAGGATGTGAAAGTCCCAGAAATAAACCCCATCATTGCAACTGGGGAAACTGAGGCCTGAAGAGAAGGAACTCAGTTTCCTCAAGTCTACTGGGGGAAGAGAATCAAAATTCAAAGTAGTTTCTACTGCACGCCTGAGGTTCTTGCACCCCTGTAAAGTCCAAAAATTGTAAGGTTGTCAGGTTCCCCCTGGTGGCTCACGCCTGTAATCGCAGCTACTCCGGAGGCTGAAGCAGGAGGATGGCAAGTTAAGGCCAGCCTCAGCAACGTAGTGAGACCCTGTCTTGAAATAAAAAGGGCTGGGGGTGTGGCTCAGTGGTAGAGCACCCTGGGTTCAATCCCCAGTACCAAAAAAAAAAAAAAAAAAAGATATTGTAGCCATGGTGAGTTGGGTTCATGTGTTGATCAGCCTCAGGTTGCAGTTGACAAAGAGGTGGCTAGAGGGACCATCACTTCGCCCAAGCCACATTGCTCACGGGGGCAGACTGGCTCGGTCTGACCACTAAGCCCCAGTGCCCTTGGGGAGGCCCTTTTCACTGTACTAATTCAGGTGCCACCTCTGCCTCTGATAGATCTAGAAATTGAGGCTCTGAGAGGTCCCCCAAGTTRTCCAGGGTCACATGTGGTGGTGGCGGGATGCCGAGGACAGCTTTGTTGCCTCCCCCCACCCCCCTGCCACTCTAGTAAGCTGGTGATGGTGGCGATTTAAAGAGAAAATCACCTCTGCTGTAGCCCCACCTTCCAGGGGGCGGGCTGGAGCAGGCCACGCCCCCGGGAGCGGGACACGCCCCTTGGAGCAGGCCACGCCCCTCAGAGAGCTCCTGGCGGCTCAGAGGCCACACAGCCCCGTGGGACCTCGCGGGGGCTCGTGGGTCTGGGCTTGGAGTTGAGGCCGAATGGCGCTAGTTCAAGGTCTTGCTTTTTGGAGGTCAAGCTCAGGAGCCTGAACTTGTCCTCGCTTCCTGGGGGACAGGTCTAAGAYACGGATCTGAGTCCAGAAAACAAGGAGCCACCCTGGAAAAGTGGGTGCCTGCTGACGCGGGTCCCTCCACTGCCCTCTGCTCTGGGGCAGCTCTGATTGCCAGAGGACGGGGCCATCTCCTGGTGGCCGAGTGGGCACATGTTAGGAATAGTGACGTTAGGTGCGGGCACCCCTGGCTACCAAGGCTTGAGCCCAGGAGGGTTCCCTGGGGAGGAGGASGTCGGGGTTGACACAGGAGGGTGCGGCTCCGTAGGAGGGGCGGGCCAGGGAGCCCCTTCATCAGCCTGATGTCGGGGTGCCYGGGCTGCGGACCCATGGGCCTGGCTTCTGGAGCTGAACCGGCCACGGGCAGGGGTTGGGGGTTTATGTCGTCTGCAGAGCGCGGCAATCGAGAGCTCAGGCTGGGAACTGGACAGGCCTGTGTCCTCTGCCAGCTGCTTCTCCGTCCTTGGGCCTCAGCTGGACAAAGTGAAGGTCTTTCTCCAGCCCTCAGGACCTCGCGTGTAAAGCGCGACCGTGCAGCATGCTGGGCTGAGTGACCAGAGGATTAGGTGCTGTTCAGCTCTGAGCCTGGTGCCCCGACTGTTTGCACAAGCCCTGGGCTGTGCTGGTGACAGCAACAATGTCCCACCCTGTAATCCCCAGGGACTGTAGAAATACSGGGCAGGACTAGACATGCTGGAACAGCACCCGTGCCAGAGGGTTCAGATGGGAGACTGAGGCACCCAGGGAGTCCATGTCGGGGCAGGTACAGACCCTGGCAAGGCCAGGTTTTCCAATACGTAAGCGGGTGGACTGTCCAGACCTTCGGATGCGAGGGAYCTGGCCATGAGCTCGGCTGCGGTCTTGCCTCCGCCCTTCTCCAGGTGGGCCCGGGATGGGTGGGTTCTGGGTGAACCAGAGAACAAGCTGGCACTGGGCTGGCCCTGATGGTGGCCCSAGGTCCTTTGTGTCCCCATGTGTAAATGGGTGGGATGTCAAGGGTGATTGTGAGATACAAATGAGTGGCTCATAAAGTCCCTTTGGCATCCGGGGCCGATGCTAATGATGCACTATCATGCTCCTTCCCAGGCTCCCCCAGCTCTGCCTCTCAGCTGGGTGCTGGGCTGCCTCACTGACCAGCTCCCAAGGGCCTGGGTCTTACCCGAAGCGGCTGCTTCCTCCCAAAGCCTCGGTTTCCCCCTCCACGGAGGCTGGGCAGCTGCTGGAGAACCCAGGGTCTGGAGCCCAGTACCCTCCTGGGGACTGGCTCCCTGTGCTGCCAGACTTGGGGGCCTGGTCTTGGGAAGGTGGACGCTCCCTCCTCTGCATTGGACTTACCAGCTGGCCACAGGGCCCCCGCACATAAGAGGGATGCCTGGCTTCAGCCTGGGGGAGGTTCTGAGTTTTCCTGGCCCAGATGTTGGGCTGGTAAGCCTAGGGGAAAGAGCCTGGGGAAGCAGAGACAGGATGTGCAGACTTGCTGTGTGACCTTGGRCAGATTGATGCATGTCTCTGAGCCTCAGCTTCTTACTCTCAGACACCTCCCCGCTTGCAAGGTGGTTTTGAGGCTCCCCAAACCAGCTCCAGGCACAGCAGGAGTCCCCTGGGTTGTTCCTGGGGCTCCTGCCAAGTCAGCCCAGCTGGGGAGGACACAGCCCGCTTCACCCCCAAGGGCAGGAAGAAAGAGCCAGCACAGCCCAGAGCTCCAAAGCAAGCGGACGGCACAGACACCACTCTGCGTTTTCCTCTTTTTTTTTCTTTCTCTTCATTTTTAAAACAATATAGTGCGGAGCGCACTTCTCACAGTAGAATATAATGGTCAATTTTAGTATAAAAAAAAAACATTCTCAGAGATTCGTAAATGCACTTAGTGCTTGAACAGGCCTTGGAGAGATACAGTACCGGGCCYGAGCGCCAGGAGGGCCGAGACGTGTGGGACTTCAGGCCTTGGGGACTTGTTGGGGACCCCTGCCTCCCTTCCCCCCATGATGGAGGGGGCCAGGCCCTGGAGGCCAGTCTGCCAGAAAGGAGTCGGATGGGGTCTCCCAATACAATCGGTAGGCTGCCCCCTCGCTGGCTCCCAGGAAACTCCCCTCCAAAGAAGGTAAGTGGGGTCCCTCTGAGTGGGGTCTAAGCTTGCAGGCCCATCGCCAGCCCCCATGGTGCCTCTTCCTCAGGATGCAGAAAATTGTAATAAATATACAAATCTAAGATGCAGGTGGTGTCCTCAAAGGAGGTCCCCTGTGCAGTGCGCAGTTGCACAACTGTGCCCAGCAGCCCTATAAGATGTATTGGAGGGAAGGGGGGTAGATGTGGGTCCAGGGTACAGAGAATGGTGTGTGTGTGTGTGGGGGGGGGCTGCAATTCTATTAAGAAATCTGGGGGGGGGAAGAGACTGAGGGAGGAGGGACTGAGGTGGGGGTGACGGTAGGACTCTGGGGTCCGAGTGGTCTTCACCTGGATCAACTGRCAGGGGGACCCTTTGGACCCCATGACTTCCTAAAGGCCCCCCTTTGCTCCTTTTTCCGGGAGACTGTGGGAAGAGACTCTGGAGCACCCCATTTCCTCCTGCACCCCACCCTGGTGGTCTGAGCCCCTCTTCTAGAGACCCAGAAAGAACCATTCCTGCGTTGAGGTGGCTTCTCTCCCCCTGCCTCTGCCGGCCTGGGTGGAGGGAGCCATGGACATCCCGGACCCTCCCCGTGGTGTCCTGGGGTAGCCGATGGGGYGGGGCCTCCGAGGTCACCCTGCCTCTCCCCGCGCGGCACCGAGGCGGCAGCGGGCCTGGCTTCCCCGCGGGCTCTGCGGGCGCAGGGCCGGCCCCTGACCCCGCCCCTGGCCCACTGCAGCCTGCGTCCCGCCCCGTCCGGCCGTCAGTCCGCGCATGCGCCGGGCGGCCTTATCTGTAGACGGGCAGGCGGATGTGCGCGTGCTGGTGGTCGAGCAGCCGGGGCACGGCCACCGTCTCGTAGCCCTTGCCCAGCATCTGCTCCTTGATGCAGGGCGGCCGGATGTCGTTGATGAGGTACTCCAGGGACTGCAGGCTGCTGCTCAGCACCGACGTGTTGCACACGCTCTTGCTGGGCAGGCCCGAGAGGCCGTCGGCCGCGGGCCCCGCCAGCTCGCGCGCCGTCCCGGGCCCCAGCTCAGTCACCGCCACCGCCGCCGCGGCCGCCGGGTTGTAGCAGTCGCTGGTGGGGGTCACCAGCACGCTGTTCCAGGGGGCGGCAAAGTACTGGCCCACGGCGAAGCCGGCGGGCAGCCCCTCGTAGGCCCGCCCGCCGCACGCCTCGGGGGACTTGCTGGCCGCCGCGCTGCTGCTGCTGTAGGCGCGCAGGGGCTGCGGCGGCGGGGGCGGCTTCTGGGGCCACAGCAGGTAATCCAGGCCGCCGTCGGCGTAGCCTGCGGGCTTGGTGGCCCCCGCCAGGGTCAGGGCCGGCGTGGCTCCCTGGCCCAGCTCGGCGCCCTTGCGGCAGTCGGGCAGCCCCGCGGTGGCCGAGTAGGCCATGCTGGGGAAGCTGGGCACCGGGCCGTGCTTGGCCGGGCTGGGGTGGGGGACGGCCACACCCTGACAGGCGGCGGGTGCAGCGCCGGGGGCCTGGCACTGCTGGTTGAGCTGGTAGAGGATGCTGTGGATGGAGGGCAGGTTGGAGGGCGGCAGGGGCAGCCCGCGGCCGGGCAGGGGGATCACCGAGGCCGTGGTGGCCGCTGCGGGCAGGCTGGGTGGCGGGGCAGGCGCCTCGGGGGGCTTGGGGTAGGCGAGGGGCCCCAGAGTGCTGGGGGCTGGGTAGGGCGCAATGCCCACCTGCACGGTGGCAGGCGACAGCTTGGTCCGCTTGCCTTCTACGCTCTTGAGCACGCCCTTGGCCGGCCCGGCGGGTGCGGCCCCGCTGGAGGAGGACACGGCGGCCTTGACGATGGCCAGCAGGCCCTGGTAGCCGCTGCTGTGCGGCGGGTAGGGGCTGTAGCGCTGGCCGCTGGTGTCRTAGCCGTTGACCGTGCGGCTGAGGTGCTTGTGCTGCGGCACCCGGATGTTGGTGGGGAAGATCTTGATGGACAGCGGGCTGTTGGCCACCTTCTCGGCGTAGGCGTCCAGCTCGGCCGGGCTCGGGTAGCGGGAGGAATGCATGGAGCTGGCCACCGTCTCACCTGCGGGGACAAAGGCACAGGTGAGGCCCAGAAACTGCACCCTCCTGCTGCCCACGAACAGCTACGGGCCGCCCAGCCCCCTTGCCCTGTCTGTTCACTCCTTCCAAAATTAAAGCTGTGATGTACGCAAAGTGCAGGCCTCATGGGCTTGGTGGACTGTCACAAATGGAGCACACCTAGGTGACAGGCAGCACTGTGTCCCCTAAAGTCTCCAGTCACACCCGAGTTTGCCTGAGCCCTAACAGGACAGGCTGCTCTTTTCTGGTATCCGTCAGTAATGAGATGGAGCCCCACATGGCACCTGTGTGACCTGCCTGTGTCACTTAACAGTGGTGAGATTCATTGGGGCTGCCTCACTCCTTCACTGCTATTAGCAGTGGGTGGGCACAACTGGCCCTGCCCCAGGGGAGTGGGTCATGATGGGTGGAGCTCCCCACCCCTCTAAAGCCCCTCCTGGGTCCCRAGACATCTSGRGTGCAGCTCACAGCCTCCCGGGCCRAGGTAGTAGGGWCAGGGGCTGATGAGATGGAAGGACCCTGGGCTCTGGGGCTGGATGGGACTGTGTGGCCCCGGGCAAGCTGGCTGCCCAGCTGAGCCTCAGTTTCCCWGCCTGTGGAATGGGTCTGCAGGGTGACCTGGAGGAATGAGGTCACCACTCTGGACCTTGGTTTCCTCATCAAGAAGGCTTGCGCAGTAGGAGGGWCGGATAGGTGCCAGGGAGGGGCTCTCACAGGGGGCAGCAGGTCTYGCTGCAGGGGTACACTGGTACATCTGGAAATGTGTCTGGTTGTCACAGCAGGGGGTGGAGGTGCTGCTGGCGTCTGGTGGGTAGACACGTCCCACAATGCACAGCACAGACCCCMCACACACACCAGGACCCCCCCAGCTTCAAATGTCAGCGGGAGCGGGATGGAGAAGCCCTGCCTAGGGGCAGCGGGCAGCCACGGGTGGAGTCCGGCAGCAGGAAGGGAAGGAGGTGGCATCACACCCCACGCGGGGGCTGGGGCCRTGTCCCTCTGTCCTAACCTGGGCAGGGCAGGTGAGTCCACGGTGGGTCCCCATCCCGACCCCGCCTGGGGCAGCCCCCTCCTAAGTGGCCTCAAATAAACTYGGTGTGGAGAATGGAAATGTCACTTTGGCCAACGGGGGAATCTTTCTCYGAGATTGGATTTAAACTACATTATACAAGCAATTTCATGGACACTTAGCGCCGCTCGGAGAGTCCCTCAAAAAAGGGACCCGTTCTTCATTTGCCAGCCATAAATCAGCAGTTGCTATAATGAGCACAAAAATGTCACTTTTATGCAATTTTACAGATGAACAAAACTGGTGAAATTAGCTGTGGTAACCCGACTAGAGTCAGCAAAACCAGCTGCCGGGGAAAAAATTATATCTGTATGTATTTTCGTTCCTCTTAAAGTCTCTTCCCAAGCAAGTTTCTGCCGTTGTGGTGTGAAAACTCATTTGTCCTCACCATTATACTTCCATTTGGAGTTTATCTTGAGTATCCAATGAGCCACCAACTGTGAAAATGATTAAATCTACAAAATCTATCTAATGGATGGAATAAATTAGGTGTTTAAAACCTTAAGAAGGGGAAGAAAGCGACGAGTGTTCCCGGCCTCYACTCATTCAAGGAAGGGACATCCTGCCCCCACCTGGCCAGCTGGGCTCCTGGAGGGTGGTGCGGACCCTCTGGCTCCTGTGGAAGGGGACCGTGGTGCCAAGACATGGTGCCAATTGGCAGGCACGTACAGATGCCAGCCTCTGTGCCCAGGGCTCTTCTTGGTGGCTCTTGTTTGGAGGACTTGGCAGCTCTGGGAGTCACAGATAGGAAACAGGTCCTGGCACTCGGGAACTGGCCCCCGAGACCCACCACTGCCCAGTGATCCTGACCCCTGAATTCACGCGCTCATGTGGCACCCCGGACCCACGCCAAGCAGGGCTGGTGAACCGTGTGGCCGGAACACGGTGGATGGGGTCGTGTGGCTGCCGGGGCTTGGTCACAAGAGATGTCGTGGCCGCCTCTGGCTCTGTCCTGCATCACTTGCTTAGGGGAAAGCCTCTGTCACAAGCGGATGCGGGAGCAGCCTCTGGAGAGAGGCCCACAGGGAGATGAGTGGTGGCCTCTGGTCTCCAGGTCAGAGGGCAGCACGGGGTGACGTGCTGACCGTACCCTCCTGAGAGACGCCGAGCCACTCAAGGCAAGGGAGAGAGCAGAGGATGAGCTGTTTTAAGCCTCGGAGCTCTGGAGCCACCTGCCACACAGAATAGACGACACCCAGGGTCTCCACTTTACAGATGAGGCAAGGACGCCAGCAGGGCGGAGCTGGGACGATGCCCTCTGTCCACTTTCTGGGTCACGGTCACCCTGCCCAACCCAGGCAGGGCCCATGGAGAGCCCGGGGACTCCTGAGCCTCACTCTTCTTCAATAGAATTAAAAGGACCAGAGTCAGCCCAGGGGCTGGCGGGGGCAGGAAGGTGACCCGCTGGAAGCCCCCCAGTCAGGCAGCTGTCACCGCTGCCCAGGCCCCTGCCCTGCCCCGCCCCTCTGGCAACCTGGAGCAGAGTCCCGCCTGGACAGACCCCAGCGGTCCCCCACACCCTCCAGACTCGGGCTCCTGTGTGGCCTTGCTGTGCACCGCTGGGTCCCCAGGGCTCCCAGGACGAAGCAGATGCTCAAGGACCCCASAGGGAACGAATGGTGAGGCCATGACCCGGTGCACCATCCCGCAGCTCCCTGTGCCCCAGCAGCCATCCCCCAGGCCCCGCCTGCCATCTCCTGGTCCCCTGCAGCACACTGGGCCTCGGGGACCAGCCATCTGGGGGTGGGGGGCAGCAATCCATCCCGCCAACGGGGACGAGCAGGAAGGACCAGTGACGTGACTCCCGCAGAGCGGAGCCTGGCCCCCTGACTTGACCGTGAACTGGCGCAGCTGCTGGATTCCACTGAAGAGCCTAGAAGTGAAGCGACTTCCAGAGCCCGCTATAAAGCCCATGCGACTAGGGTGACGGCTGGAGGCAGACTAGAGGTGTGGGGACCTCGGGGCACTGTGGGGACCTGGGTGTGGACCCCATGGAGGAGCTGCTGGAAGCTCCAGGGAAGACCCAGTCACAAGACCTGGCTGGTGATGGGGGAGGGGCCCCCCAGCTGGCCAGCAGCAGGGACCGGATGGGCACCAGAGTGGGCTTTCCCAGGCTCTGACGAGGTGGGGACTGTGGGGGACAGGTGGGTGGAGAGAGGCGTTGCTCTCCCTCCGTCCTTCTCCAAGGTGGAACCAGGACTTGAAGGAAACAGCCCCCGCCCCCGCGTCAACAGGGGAGCGGCAGAGCATCCCAAGGCCAAAGGGAATTTCATCTTTGCCTCTCTGTCATCACCAGTGGCCAGCTATGACCGCAACTGACTCAGGATGGGGGACGTCCCCCTGGGTCCTGGGGGAGGGGATGCTCTTAACCTCTGCATCTGGCCTCTTCCAAACACATCCTCAACTCTTGGCCTCGAGCAGCCTGCTGGCCACTCCAGCTGCCCCTTCTGCTCAGGGCAGAGGAGAGGCTGTGGCAGATGGCCTTACGGCCCTGAGGGGTCGGGTGGCATGCAGACTTCTAGTCACGGACCTGGTTCAAATCCCAGCTCAGCTACGCACTTGCTGTGTGACCTCGGTCGTGTGAATGCCCCTCTCTGAGCCTCAGTTTTCTCTTGTGTAAAATGGGTCAGTGCTGCTGCAGACCTTGCGGGGGTGGGGGGGCTTCCTGGGGAGCGTAAAGGGCTGGCCTGGCTTGGTGCCTAGGCCCACGGGCACCATGGGTGTTGCTGGTGTTGGTTTCACTGAAGCCACCAGCACCAGTACCACCTCGGGCTGCGGGGCTCAGACCTCCCCTAGGTGCCTCTCCTTCAGCCCCTGGAGGGCGCACTGTGACTTGGAGAGAAGGGGGACTGGGGTGTGCAGGACCAAGGTGCCGTGCTGTCCCTCACCCTGACCGTCTGTGCCCACCGAGGCCCCCGCTAAGGGCTTGTCAGGAAATGTAAAAGGCTGGAAGTGCCGCGGATCGTCACCGCCATTAAGTTAATGTTATGGGCCTTTTACAGGTGCGTTAAATAGACGMGGTTATTAACGAGTATATTAAGCCAATTAAAACCAGCCCTCTGAGTGGGATTTAATGTCGCCACAGGGAGACGGGAGGGGCCTGGCTGCATGGCTGCCTGCTGGAGGCGGGGAGGGGGAGGGGTGCCGACCACCGTGGTGAGAAGCTGAGCTCCGCTGGGGTCCAGTCACCAGTTCTGCCACTTGCTGTGGGTGACCTTGGGCCTGGGAGCCTCCAGTCCTCATCTGCAAGAAGGGACGAAGGGGTGGCCTTGTCACGGGGGATGCTGAATCACTGTGGCRCTCGATGCCCCCCGAGCACCCAACAGAACTGCTCATCCAGGGCGTGGTGGGACGCCAGCCCAGCGTTCCTGGCCCCGCTGTCCCCTGGGGAGGCCGAGGCACCAGCCATGGACCTGGGTCTGTCCCTTCAGGGAGAGGCGTGCTCTGTCTAGCCCTCTCCACCCTTTGTTCTGGAGCTGGCCCCAAGTGACAGAAGCAGACTGAGGCTCAGAGGGGACAAGTCCCTAGCCCAAGGGCCCAGGGCTGGGAGTGGCGAGCAGCAGGCTCCAGAGCCGCCTCCTGGATGGCTCTGTGGCCCCCCGGCTCCCAGTGGCTCACAGAGCGTGACCCCGGAGCAGCGGTTCCCTGGGTGACCTCAGGTCCTGGGGTGTAGAGTGGGGCTACCTGTCACTGTCCCACAGGAGACAATGACAGGTGTGCGTGGCACATAGTAGGTGTTCAGACCTGTTGCCTCCTCCACAGAGGCTCTCCAGGACACACGGGGTGTGATCTGGGTCAGAACGGGGGAGCGAGGGAGTCTCAGGCTTCAGGACAGAAGGGGCCCCTGGGCACAGGGCCTGGCCCAGCCCCCAGGGAGAAGCGGCCCCACATCTGCATTCCCCTTCGAGGTGACA